CAATTATTTTAAAAAATACTCAAAATTTGTTTTAATACCCTATCTCTAATAGTCTCTCAGGCTTGAGGAGAGAGAAAGGGAAGGGAAATTGCTTTCTTTTCACCAATTAAATTAAGCAATTGGACCAATAAAATAATTTAATTGACTACAATAATTTTCCACCTCCTCAAGGCAAACAGGTAACCTTTTACAAGCTAAAAACAACTTTTGATCCCTCTTTCCCATTTTTCCTCTCTCTTTTTTTTTTTTTAATTTATTTTTTATTGGGAAGAAAGCTTTGGATCCAATTTAAGCTTTTGCAGTAAAGAAAATCCCTACAATTTAAGATCCCATAGACATACTACACTTGGTAAATCTCTAAAGATATTCAATAATTTTTTAAGCACAGGAAATTGAATCATATGAAAGCAGTTATTATGGAGTTCATCAATGAACCTATCTTTGATCAAATGGTCTAAACAGACAATTACAAAAAAATTGCAATTGAATTACACCAAGAATAAATATTGGAAGCCAAAACTTGATTAAATTTGTATACTCAACTCAAGCCTTCCATAATTTCATGGTGCAATCTTCACTATATGTGGCAACAAGATTCCTGTGAGGATGATGGGTTATACCAATCACATCCTTTTCATGAACCTGTCAATGGCACAAAGAAAAAGATAAGAAATTCCTTCACATTTAAGACTAAAAGTTAAAACGGTCTTTCATGGCAACAATTTTTACTAAATCACATCAGCAATATCCCACAACCGTAGACCTCATATGGAGCAGAAACACATCACCTATTAGTCCCTACAAGTCCTCAAAGTTGCCTATTTATCTTCAACAATAGAATACATGCTAGGGAAGTTCAGCTTTAAATCCAGCTTCCCGGTTCCCTCACCAGAAATGCAGCTGGATAACATCATAGTCTAATTGCATAACTTAAAAAAGATGTGCTTCTCATTATTTTCCCAAGTTGCCAACATTACACTCTTTATAGCCAAGAAAGCTTAAAGCGTAAAATTAAAAACAACTGGGTGTCTGATGAAAGCTTACTGTCATTAGATGCTCCAGTTTGCCAGTTTGGTGGCTAAAGCAATACATGTTCCTGCAGACATGAAATGAGTTATAAAGACAATTGACATGGGGAAAGAAGACTCTATACCAGTTAAAGTAAAATATGAAACAACCAAATTAACGCATTAGCCAATGTGTTTTTTTATTTTTTATTTTTGCCAGTATTAACTAATGTGTCAATAGTAAATTCTTTAAGGCAATACATATGCATTAAAGGACTTAAAGTTAGATAAGACCAAAAAAAAAAAAAGAGCACTTCTGAATTTTGAGAGGGATGAAGTGGGAAAATTCAGAAAAGGATGAGTTCAGTCAACAACAGCCACTTTACAATGGTGACATCGAAGTTAACAACTATCCCAAAAAGGCAGCAAAGCTTGTAATTTACAGTGTAAATCAACCACAAAATGTAATTAGAAGTTACTAAATTAGGCCATACATAAACATTTATATTTTTACTACATATGCCACATAATCAATGGCCTAAGTACAATTCTATAATGTGATATATTTTGTCTTATAACTTAACATTGTATTGTTAATTGCTTCACTGTCAAATATTACCTTTTAATGAATTGCTTCTGGGTGTAATTAAAATTTGATCAATTATTTGGAGAGAAAGCCAAAAAATTGTCTCTTGAAATCATTACAATTTGAGTTGGGTAAACAACTCTAGGGTTGAATAAGACCATTCATTAAAAGAAATAAATATTAGTGTAACAGGAACAGCAACACAGTTATTGTTAATGCAGACTGAGGGTCAGGGAGTGTTTATCTGTCTAGTCAATTTTATTAATAAAAAACGAAACTATGTAAAGAAATTCATTACAATTCAAGCGTTACCTGTCTTCACCAACACAGTATATCCATTCACCTTTGGGTGAGACACAGGCTGCAAGAAAATCTCCCCCCTCTTTCTTACCAGATGAGAAACTTTTCACAACCTGCATCATGATCATTTAGAATCACATTCTAGACATGATTTATTATTTACACTTAATTGGTAGACCATAGGAAGATCGTGAGTGATGTATTGTGCAGAAGAACACCAATTTTTATCTTCATTAAAGAAAAAAAGAAAGAAAAAAACAATTCTTTTCCTATGCACATTGCACAAGTCACCAAGGATTATGAACTCTTTTTCAGATATAGTGAAAACAATATAGCAGCATTTATTCTGGGATACCTGTCCTTGAAGTGTCATGATGTATATTGATGATGTCTTATTGCATACAACAATATGATCTGTGTTTTTGGGAAAAAGATGAACAGAATTCACTGCAGCATCACCTCCCTACAAATTAAAATTTTCAAATAGCAAAGATAGAAAAACAAACAATTAGACATGCAAGGATAAAATTTCACTAGAAAAACACATCTTACAGGGAATAGAATACCCTTAAAGGAGGTGGTGGCTTGAATGTTTGTAAGCAGTCTGTTGTCTTTACATCCCAGACCTATGACATGTAAACCAAGACATATTATCCACATAAGAAAATACTAACAAGGCCAAAATGTTAAAGTACACATCCATCTGATCTACCTTTACTGTGCAATCACTAGAGGCGGTAATAACACGGCTTCCATCTGCTGTAAAGATGCCATCATTAACATAAGATGTGTGGCCACGAAATTCTTTCAACATCTTTCCAGATTTTAATCCATGGATTCTACAAATATAGGGGGGGAAAATCCAACCAAAGAACTGTCAGAACTTGCATCTTAAATTGCTAAAATTAAAGTGAGCAAAAATTTTCAGCATTGGAAGTAATCATATCCAGACATAGAAGCTAGAAAATTTTTCAAAAGAAAAAATATTGCAAAAACAACAGCAATAAAAAGTTTAGTATAAAGTATAAACTATGCAACACCATAAAACATGCACAAAATGGGGGTTATACCTTGCTGTGTTATCAAAAGATGTACTCAGTAACTGGCTCCCATCGCGAGAGAAGGCAAGACTTGTGACACCCTGAGAATGTGCATGCTCAAGACGACGTAAGCATTGACCAGTTCTTATGCGCCAAACCTGAGAATGTAGTCCTTATTAGAAATTTCTGCATATATATACCAGTATTAAACTTCCAACAGGAAATTTATGGCACTTAATTTCAAAATAACCACTACAACACTGGGATGAACCAGAGTAAGGTAAAAACTTCAACATGCTTCAAGAGTTTTTGAATAAAAAATTCACAAATACCTTATACAACATAAAAGTCATAGTTTGTATTTTGTAATCCATGCAAGCCTTAAAAGATGCCAAAACTCTTTTAACTAATGGCATTACAGCATTTATAAGAACAGTGGAGAAATGAAAATTAAACTTACAACTGAAGATCAAAGAATAATGAATTTGAGAACCAAAATGTACTGACAAAAACCAATGATCAAACATGAAGACACCAAGAACTAATATGTAGATTTAGAGCTACTATATTCTTCCAAACTTTCTATGACATGGTTCTATTAACAATAAACATTTTTCACTGTTCCAAGCATATACAACTAGAATATAAATCCAAGCATATACAACAGTCATAATCCAAGCACAAGGTTGCAGAAAGTGCTAGGCAATGGTGGGCAGTCACCCACAGCTCACTTTTTACAACACTCCAAGCATTTATTGAACTTACTTTAATTTTTCCATCTTGTGACCCTGATGCAAGCACCTCAGAGTCTCTGCTGAAATCAACACAAAGAACAGGATCATCATGCATCATGAAAGTTTCCTGTAAAGATTAACGGAATGTCAGTACTAGTGGAGCTACTGCACCCAGGAAAACAACTTTTGAGTGAACAAAAGACATGCTAAAGTTACTTTTATTTGCCTTCCCTTCAAAATTGCTAGACATAGTCATGCAAGCTAGTAATTGGTTGCCTTTTAATTCCAGAGTGAACAAAAGACATGGTCATGGTGTTAATGGCTTTCAATAAGTTTTTTGCAAAGGTATATAAAAGGTTGAAATTTTACACGATTAGAGAAAATTGTTCTTTCATTTTATTTCAACTATATTTTTGCCTTGTACAGGTCAACACACAATTAACATAATATGCAGTCAAGTAAAAATGCTACATTGAGACTCACTAGTATTGGTGCTATCAGTACATCGCTGGCAAGTGTCAACCTTGATTATATATTATCCAAGCATATAAAAAGAGTATCAGTTCTTTTTTCTAGCTCATCTTTTCTTTTGGTATTAGATATAGTTATCGCCAAGACCAAGAACAAAGATATAATTTTGAAGAAAGAAATTACTCACATCAGCCTGGTATTGAAGATCCTTTTTAAGCTTTCCGCTTATATAATCCCACACCTGTTAACGAATAACCCAGTGAAATTCAGGTTCATTAATATATTTTCAATGGAAAAATATATATTCTCTGATAATATGAACCTCAATAAATCCATCAACAGAACAAGAGACGAGAAACTGTCCATCTGGTGAGAAGCGAGCGCATTCTGCATGACTTTTTTTCCCAAACTGCAGCAAGAAAACCACAATATGAGGAATCAAATCAATTTCAGGATGAAATTACAGTAAAAACAAAGAATCTGGATAGGAAAGGAAGTTAACAAGTTTACACAAAGCTCTTACATAGACTCAAATGTTTAAGGTATCAAAGAATCTGACAAGGATAGAGAAGATGTGATAAAGAGCAAGAGAAATAGAGGGAAGGCAAAAGGAAAGGAGGAAGAAATAGTAGAAATATTGAAAAGAGAGAGAGGGGGAGTGAATAAAATGGGAGAAATCTTCCCATATATTCTTCCATGATTGCACCAAGGTACTTCCACATATTATCATTTATTGAACTATGGATCATGTCTTGCAAAAATGTTCCTTCTTTAAAAAAGATAAGATCGCAAAAAAGAGAATCCACAAAAATGAATTAACACAATAATGGTTCATTTAGGGATTAAATGGAAATAAACTTTTACACTTTTGCATTCATTTTTTAAAATAATTATTAAAAAATATTTATTGAAATGTTAAATACATACAACGACCAAAGAAAATATATCCTCCAAATTTAAAATTTAATACATAAGTTCTAAAATATTCAACAGATTTGGCTAACTGGAACTAGATAAAAATTTAAAACAAGTTTAGGATACTCCTCAAAAGACATCATAAGGAAAAACAAGACATTGACATCTAGCTGAACCAAGAAATAGTTAGTAACAATTGTCAAAACAAAAGAAGACAAAACTTACCTTAATGGTATGCACTAGGGTTGCTGGATGCATATCATCTACATCTTGTTTCATGGCAGCTGTTCCTCGAAATAAATCAAACTGTGTTCCTGGAGGAAGCAAACCTGAAAGGACCAAATATAAATGCTTCATCAAGATATTCCTCTCTGTACATTTTGTCAGAAGCAAACAACTTATTTGAGTCCATGGAAGCAATAGCTGTATCCAGGTATTACCAGGCAAAGGTTACACACAAAAACCATTATTATTATTATTTTTTTTTGGCCTTAAAACCATAATAGTTTTAGCAATTTAAAAGAAAATAAGACCATTCTGGATAATCATTAAAATATATTAGAAAGATATAAATAACACTTCTTATACTTGGAATCTTAGATAAATGATGCATTCTTCCCCCCAACTATAGACACCAAAAAAGGAAGACATGCCATGATACTTGCAAAAACTAAACACAAAATAAGAGAAATTTTGAGAGCCATATCCATGAGAGAACCCAAAAACGTCTTTGTATAAACTTACCTTGATGCTGCTGCCACTTAAGAGCCTGGCCAATCAAAGCCATTAACCGTGAAGGTGGTACGACACTCACTTCAGCAGCAAGAGCTGAGAATGCAAAAAGGGGAAAAAAAAATTTTAAGACAAATAGTAATTTTATTCAAGTCTAATAAGCAAAATACACAACAGATGGTAATAAAATCCATAAACGGAAATTCTGAAATCTGTATGTTAAGGCCATTCCCATTGCTTGTCTATTTTCCTCACCAATGATTAATTTTTTTTATTCTACGTCAACCATATGAAAGACTCAGCATAAAACAGATTTCAATGGCTCATTGGCCAGATCCCTGTGGTGGATTAGGCAAGGGCTAACTAGCTTTCCAGGTCCCATGGTGTGAAGAACCACATATTAGCCTTAAAACACATTGGACCAGCAATTTTAAGTCATGAGACTTAGGTCTAAAACCAAACCATTATTGACCTTAGGTATTAGCAATTAGCAATCTTTAGAACTAAAACTGTAGTGAAAACTAACAAGGGAATAACAAATAAAAACCTTGAGCAATTTGCGCACGGCATTTCTCTTTTGTGGAGTCCTGATAAGCCTGTCACAAAAGATGTAGGACATGCATATTAAATGAGAGCACTCAATGAAAAGAGTCACCAAAATATGGTACAAAGCTAATACTAACATACAAAACAACTGCTTGAATAGGGTAACAGAAACAAATAGAATGATAAAAATGGGCTATAAAACCATAAACAGCAAAGATGAAAGTAGCTGCCTAACCTCATTTGGATCAAAATAAGTTCTGACCAGGAGGTGCTCAAGCCTCAAGTATCTTTCAGGTTGCTCTTGCTTCATAAACCCCATTACCTGGGTTTGCCTTAAAATAGCACGAGCAGTATCCAATTCTCTTAACTCAATCATTTCTAATACTATCTGCAAACAAAAAAAAAAAAAAAAAAAAAAAAAAAAATTATGATGAGGATGGCAGATGAAGAACACTGCAGTGTTTCATGAAAGCAAAAGGCAACAAATGCTTATCCATTTCAAATGATGGGCAGCTAGGTTCTATGAGAATTTGTTAAAAAATGATCTCAATGATTTAACCCATTAAATGTGCCAAAACAGGTGGCATTAAGATTTAAGAAGCCAAAGAGATCAACAACCCACAAATGATCAGCAATGAAGAGCAAAACAATTATCAAGAAAAACTAGCTTAAGTCCCAATTCCTCAGTACCTGTTCATACAAATCTTCCAACTTATTCCTTGGAAGCTTTAGCTGAGACACTTGAGGCAATATGGCATCCCACCTCCCACCATTAATATCCGCAACAAATGTCTCAATGCTGTCAACAGTATTCAGAGAAACCTGACACTCATTCTGTAACGTCTGGAACGTTTGGTGCAAGGAATTCTCTTTGCAGAACTGCAGCACAATCTTTATAACACTGAAAGATAAAACAAAAGCTAAACAGAACTTTCCCAGATCGAAACAGGTAAGGATAACACCTAAAGAAAAGCAAATTTAGCTTCTTTCAGCATCACAAGCCACGATTTTTTTCAAAAATTAATGTCTTGAAAGAGTATTTTATGACTTTTCAACCTCCCCCGACGCAAACCGCCGGCGACCTAATCGGAATTTGGAGTGGTGAAGCAAAAAGTGGTACGGAAACAGCACTTGGTGTAAAGAGAAGCTGAATAACATTACAGGGTACGGAAAGATGTAAACTTACTCTCGAGCTTCGATCTCCAGAGTCATCTTCGCCGGAGCAGATAACTACGGGAACGTGAAGGAGAGGAGGAAGTGGATTTCTTCGACTGTCTTGACTCTTCGTTTTCTTCTCTCCAATGCTGAGCTCGGCTTCCTACTAACCCGACCCGACACCAGATAACTCCGACTTCTTCCCGATGGATCGGGTTGGTTTATGTTTGAAATTTGCAAATAGAGATGTTAATTTTGTATATTTTTTATTTAAAAATGTTAATTTTGTTAATTTTTAAATAAGAATAATAATTTTTAATTATTTTTATTTAAAAATATCAATTTTTAGCTTTTTATATTTAAAGATACTTACTTTTAATTTTTTTTTAAAGTTAATTAAATGGTGATACTGGCATGAGAAATGGATTTTTTTATTGGAATGTTGAATTTAAAGTATATAACACTAATAATAAATGTTGTGCAATTCGATTTAAACCAAAATTTACAACACTTTTTCTATTATCAAAATACCATTAAGAAATAAATATTAAGAAGAGTTTCAATAAAAGTATTTTGATAATTTTAATACATAAACTACACTTTATTCATATAATACCTATTAAAAAAAACATTTCTAATATAAAAATTTGAGTCTCCTATTTAGTAGTCTAAACTATATTAAATTACAAAACAAAGGCTATTGGATAAGAGAAGTACTCATCCATTTTTAATGATTCTGTTAAACCCCCATTTTTCGGTTCCTTAATTATTGTACGGATCCTAATTGAGTTCTTCAACTTAAAATCTCTAATTTGGTCCCTACTGTTTCCAATTTTGGCCCCAAATTGGTTCTTCCGTTAAAGCTCTTGTTAATTAACGGTAGAAGAATGACATGTCAAAAAAAATTTTGACATGTAGAATTGATAGCATGGATAAATAAATGATGCGGAAAAAGAAAATTAAGAAATTCCCTTTTCTTCTTCCTTCCTTTTTTCCTTTTTGCTCTTCGTTCCTTCGACTATTGTAAACCTTAGCACCTGAAACCACATTTGATTTTCCTCACCAAATCAATTCATCTTCTTCCCCTTGATTTTCCTCATCCCTTCCTTTTCCAAATTTGGTTGTTCATTGCCTATCGCTTACGTGCCTAACAGATCCAGGACCAACGCAAATCAAATCTCAAAATCTACCCTAATCTACTAGAATATGGCTCTAGTGGGTGGTGCTAGGCTATGCTATCGGTGTTGAAGCTATCATGGTGCTTCTTTTAGTGATTTCTCTAGGTTCATGGTTTCATATCCTTTATTTGATTTCAAAAGTTTGACTTGAATTTCTTTAGTTTTCTAAGCTAGTTTTAGTTTGATTATTTAGCGATTGTGGTGGTTGATATGCATTTTGGGACAAGGATCTTGACTCAATGTAAAGACATTTTACTCTCTGAGTTCCATTATCATTCCAATCTTGTTTAGTGTTGATGGGTTCATCGAATCCAAATCTAGAAATTAGGGTGATAGGTTGATTTTGTTTTTACTAGATGATTTTTACTAATTATTTGGAGAAATTTTGTATGATTTTCGATTGAACCCAGCAAAGGTGGATTTTTTTTAACCTAGCATGCCTGGGTTCAATTGAAACCTACAAACCTCGGAGGAGGCAATTGATTGTTTGATGTTGATGAAGAATTAATTGATGAAGAATGAAATTCCATTTCATTGAATTGATTGTTTGATTTAGAAAAATGGTGATGAAAATGGACTCAAAGGAGATAAAGAGACAAAAAAAGAAGAATGAATGAAGAATATTTGAGAAAGAGAATGCTAGAGGAAGAAGATGAGAGTAAAATTGTAATTTTGATGGATTAGATAATTATATTTGTTTATTATGTGACCAAAGTTTTTTAACCACATCATTCATTTATCCATGCTGGCAATCCTATGTGTCAAATATTTTGGACATGTCATTCTTCTTCCATCAATTAACCGGCTGTTTCAGCTTAAATTTAACAGAAGAACCAACTTGGGCCAAAATTGAAAACAGTAGAGACCAAATCAGAAATTTTTTAAGTTGAGGAACTCAATTGGAGATCCATACAATAATTGAGAACCAAAAATAAGAATTTAACCTAATAATTAATGTGGTGCAATTTTAAAAATTAGTGTTGTAATTTAATACAATTAAAACTGCACAACACTTTCTTTTAGAAGTATATATTTATTTTTTATCTACTATACTTCAAATTAAAGTCTGTACAAATGTTTCAATGTAGATTCCATCATTTATAATCGCAGTACCCAATCCAAAAAAACCCAACATATAGATTTTTTTTTTTTTTTTTTTATGTAGATTCCATCATTTATAATCGCAGTACCCAATCCAAAAAAACCCAACATATAGATTTTTTTTTTTTTTTTTATAGTAGTAAGTGGTATTATGGGCCAAATTATCTAAACATATATCATGGTAACTTTTTCCACACAAGAAAGATGAGAACTCAATATTATTGAGCAACATCATTCCAGCTTACACACAACACACTTATATAATAAGTGTTCCCTCTAAACTGAAGTGTTAGTAGTTAGTACTACTGAAAGTACTAAATGAATCATTTTGTATGTTAGTGGCAAATGATGCAAAATCAGTCACTCCAGTGTTCCCCTCCATCTGCAAAACACAAAATTAAAATAGTTTCTATTAATTTAATGAATATTGCATATCATTTTTTTATAAATGAAATTGAAAGTATTTATATCTACTTATTATTAATTAATTTTGATAATAATTTTTGTTACCTTTTCCTGAAGGTACTTATTGGCAGCCTTGAGAAGCTCTTCCTTTACCCAAAAATTGAAAGACAAAATGCCAATATTTAATGGAATTTAATTAAAATATATGAGATTAATTTGCATCCCAAAATTAAAAGAAATTCTAGTTCATACTTACATTGTTTCTCAAGAACTGAATCTCTTGAAACATGATATCCATCTGCAATTTAACAAGCAAAATTTGTTTAAGTGCAAAACAAACAACAAAAGTTGGTAACAATTTTTAAAAAACAATATTTGTTTCAATTTTAACTTTTACAATTAAAAAAATCTTTCTAAAAATAGTGTCAAAAAGACACATTGAATCAAAATTAGTTAAATTTGTACCTTTGTTGAACGTATGTTACAAATCCAAATCTCAAGATACTTTTCAAGCACAAGCAGCTCTTCCAGTGTCATTGTCCCAGAACCCCCTCCTAACATGTAGCTGTAATTCATTTTTTTGCATCAATATTTTTCCTCCACTATTATATTAATTAACTAACTGTTTTTATGACTGTTTTTGAGGAGAGTAATTGATATATATATATATATATATATATCGCAGTACCTGATGCCTTTCTGGAGTATTTCAATCTCTTGTTTCAACATTCTGACCTCCTTTTCAGCATCCTGAGGGGAATTTATATATACATGTAAGTGGAAATCATATCTTTTTAATTAGAACCAGAATCTGATGCATGCAATTTGCGAAAGCACATCTACCAATTGGAATAATTGCAGTGATATGGATATATTTTATATAAGGAAAATAATTGGTACATTTTTCGGTTCAACACACCTAATAACAACTATAAGTTCAATCATTAAAATTTGTCTTTAAAAATTTTCCCATCTTAAATTCAAATTTGAAAATATTAGTATTTTAATGATTCGACCGATTAATATTGTTAAGTGTATTAAGTTGAAGAGTGTACCAATAAGAGACGGAGTCAGAGCGGT